TGAATAATTCAGAAAAACAACTTTTATTATTTGTGTATGAATGCGAATCAATCAATAAAAGTGTTGATACTAATTTCTGGGAACATAATACTTTTGTCTATCCACTTATCTGTTTTTAGAAGTACCACTTGATTTTAAAGTTATCTTTTAAGAATATGTATTTACAGCTGAAATGGATATATATATATATATTTCAGAATGTTTATAAGGTGTGTGTGTGTTCGCTATAGTTTATTCATCAATGATTTTAAATGACAAAGATGTTCATTAGTTTTGTTCGAACTGAATATAAAGTGAAAATCTTTTATAAGATACTTTGTATTTATGTCCATAATGAGGATTTCTCTAGTCGATCACAAAAATTGTGGTTTTGCATGAATATTTTGTCAATAAAATCTACATTATCAGTCACAGATTCCTCTTACTCTAAATGGTAGCAACTATAAACCTGTCTTTTCCTTAGCTTTATTAATTTCAGAGTTTAATTTCATAGTATTGCTTTAAAGAGTAACTGAATTATTAACTTAACAAAGATCACGAATTCACATTCAATGCTTGTGCTACTCTGATTTTGTTACATATTAGTTTTACTATTAATTCGGTAAATACAGCAGTCTCTCTTCTACATCTGTATAGTTGCGCTAGCGAAACACTGAAAGGGGATATTAGTAACTAAATCAAACTGCAATTCATGTCAATGCGCATGCACATACTTTATTCAATATTGAAAATTCTGATTACAAGACACATCGTTACACCACAATATGTATTATTTGAACTGTTATTGTTACAGCTTATTTTACCGATGGTTGAACTTAGAGCACAAAATTCAAGTGTTACTTTGTAGCATAAGTTATCACGAATAGGTAGACTTAACTATTTTGTTACTATTTTGTTAGGCGAACCAGCTATTGAGGATATTTGCTTCAATACACTAAACTATCAAAGTTGTCATAATGTACTTTATGTGAATTTTGTCATCTTCATTTTAGTTAAAAATATCCAAATATGCTTGCTACTATGTAGATGATTTTAATCGTAGTTATCAGGAAGTAAACACTTGACAAAAATATGGTTCGAAATTTTAAATATATTGGTTTTTATAAGAGTATCATTATTAACAGCAGTAAATAAACTGTTGTGAGTTCGACCATGTTATGCGCACATAACAACTTTAAGATCACTCCAAACTAGCTTCATGTAAAGTCTGTGGCCAAAAATACGTTACTGGTTTTTACTGTAGAGACCGCAAGTCATTTTCCATACATATACGTTGAAGTAAATGACTAATCGATTTAATTACTTGATGGGGTTTGGGTTCTCACATTGAATGGAAGTAAAATCAAAACCTATCAGGACCTATATGTTTTTATGTTCCTCCTTACTATTGACAATTGTCTTAAGATCACAATTATCGAACTGATAGTGTACACTGAGTAAGGCATTATATGTCGTGTACATTAATTATTTTCGAACTGGCCATTTCACCAGTCATTATGGAGATATAAGGTTGAACAACAATATCAAGCTATTGTTATGTAGACAATGCATATGGCAGTAATAGACGTTGATGCACATTATTGTAATTCAATTATGAAACTATTTAATAAAGTTCTGTTTTATCTATTTCCAGATCACCTACACATTCTTCTCGAGTTAGCTATCCATGGTAATTTACGTGATTTTCTACGAAATCCTCGACCACTTGGAATCAATTTCTGGGCAGATAAATAAACAGTCACCTCATCATATGTAATCGCAACAAATTTAAACGATTTAAAATAAATTTAATCTGATAATGCAGTTCAACAACCAAGATTAGAACTATTAGGATTTCCATTTGATGCTTTGTTGTAATTTGAAACATTATCTGTAAGTTTTAGTGGCACTGTCGATTAATGCTGTTTTTAATAATAATAATAATAACAATGGTGACATTGGTTTATTTGACGATTATTTCGTACTTCTCATAGAGTTCATACCTGTATATTCAGGGATTAATGATTTAGTATTTCAATCAATTTTTTGCATCCTATCTTAACCAGAATTTCAACATTAAACAGATCATAAGTCGGTTGTAATAAATTAAAATTAATATGTAATGGTAGCAATAATTAATCCCTAGTTATTACTGAATGCTAAGAGGATACTTTTCTCAGTAACGCATGAGTAATACATATGCAGTAATATACAGTATGTTGGAAATGCTTACACATCAATGGTTTTCGTACATTCCTTGTGCAAAATTTAGTAGGCTAAATTGATGTCACTATGATTTGTCTGTTGCTGAAATAGCTAACATATTGAACCTACTAATGAATAGAGAATATATTTGTTTTCAGCTTAATATTTTAAAAACATTATCAAAGTATTAGATAACTGAAACGGTCATATTATGAAATTCATCTTTCGACTATCGATAATAGTTGTGTGTCTAGACAGTGATAGTCACGATAAAATTTAAACCTGCGATATGACATTAGTCTTCTGATGAGCTGGATGCATCAAACAGGCTGTTTATAACTTAAATTATACTTCATCATCCTGTGAACCAAGCAGACAGATACTAAGCGTTAGTGTGTAAGTATTCATAACTCAAATTCTAACCACTATATTACACATTTGAATATATCTTTTTAGCCTACTTTGTCTTAGAAACCCGATTACAGTGTCGTAAAACGTATGACTTAGAGTTGAGAACCTACATCTGTAAGAGATTACTGAGTTACACAGATTTATATAGTATAGTGGGAGTTGTTATGAAGAGGTCCGATTAGAAAACTTTGAAAACGATAGTCACTTTTTTACAAAACAGTTTAGTACTACGAGATGTCACACTAAAATTCCAAGTGTTAACTAAATCCTGTCACTCATCGAACATACCATATACGTAATTTTAATTGACATATGAACTGAACTATACTATTATAATTTCCGTAAACGTTTGTGAGAAGCTCAGTATCTAGGTTTCATTTCTGTCATTTAGTTGTATTCTCTTCTTTAGAATTGATGGGCGTAATATTATTGCTAAATAGATAATATAATACCTATTGTTGTGATTACTGGTTCTTTTCATAAGAACAAACTTAAAATCGTAATTAATTAGTAAACACTTATTATTTTTCGTTGAGGGGTTCGTAATATCAAGTTTTTTTTGCTATCGATATTTGGATTGCACATTACTAAAGACATCTGGAATGTGACAAAAAGGCAAACCTTCATCGCTTTACGGTTACCATTTGTTTAGACTGATCAGAATACATGCTTGTGTGAGAATACAACTGTTACTGGTGTATGTATGTCACTTAAGTAGAAATCAGTTATAGAGGTTGAGGCTTGTATTATTTCTTTTTTAGTTGTAATCAGTTAAATTTTATAGTAAGTTGTGCTGATTGCTAATTCTATGAATTCAATATTAGGGTACCAGACAATCAGAATTCTTAAACTGATTGTGACACGTTCACTTTCACCAAGATATTTTTGAGGTGCTTTTCCAATTATTTAGGGACAGTTTTGGTGTCACATTTTAAGTACATTCGTCTTTAGTTTGACATGTGTTTAATTGGAATATTTTCACACAGCCGCAGAATAAATAATAAAACTCACGGTTGTTTTTTGGCTTTTGTTAAATAGACTATGATGGATACTTGAAAGTTGCTGCGGCTCAGATATCTGTCATCTAAACAACATTATACATCATTACTTTTCCAAAATTGATTTCAACGCTTGCCATCTCTGGCTAGTTAAGTAACATTAACATTTTACAGCCTTCAATCAGTTAAAGATCTAACAAGTAATAATATAGGTATATCTAAAATATTTAGTAGCATTGTATTTTCGGATTGTAGATAATTTGCATACCGGAAGCCATATTAAAAAAAACTGATAAGATATCGGTGGTCAGTAGTTTTATCAAAACCGTTTTTATCCGTTGTAAACTTAAAGGGGTATTACAACAGGAGATGGGTTTAATAGTATACATTTTAAACAAAATGTTGTAGTCCTCCGTTAACATTTTTTATAATTTTACGTAACTCAAAAACGTGGTGACGATTGCGGATTGAATGTTTTTGCTACTGAACCAATGCTGACTTTAATTATTTTATGTTTCGTGTACTCACATCCTTCATACCTGCCTACTAATAGTATTCAAAATATTTCACTAATGTTTGTAGTCAGTAAGTAGATAGTTTTAACAGGTACTTTTGAAATTTTGCTTTTCATTTGTTAAATTTTTTTCTAAATTTCAATCCATATGTTTGTGATTCGAGAGATTAACATAATTGTTAAATAAAAAATCATACACTTCAATATTTTTGAAAATGTCGAAAAATTGATGAAGTTGTTGAAGTAAAAGGAATTCCTACTTGTTTCTGGTTAATGATTGATTCCAATTGAATTGAATTCAGACTTTCGGTAAGTGCTCTCGTTTTAATGATAACTCTCTTCAAGTATCGAAATTCTGCATAGTTTGTTATAAAAGGATGCAGTTGATAAAACTATAACATTTAATATTGAGATTCATAAGTTTCACCTAACATAGTGTCACACAAAAGTCTTAAACATTAAGAAAAAATACCAATACATATTTTTCATTCCATAGTCAAAAAATGCAAAGAATGACTGAGGTTGTCAGTAGAGTTTCGCATGTTCAGTAGGTACTTTATGGTTTTCATTGAAGATTTCAAATGGCTGTCTTTATTGCACAAATGTCTGGCATGGACATGTCTACTGTTCCCTAAGTAGATATGTAAGATGTGAAAACCCATTTATGGTAAATATAAGGTGTTGAACTAAGTCTTATGTCAAAAATTCACATCAAACCCGGCAACGAACAAACATATGAATGGAATAATGGTATAGCGTTGGGACAACACTAAATAAGCATTGGAAAAGTTGCCGGTATCTGTGTAGTGACTTAGCTTCGTTAATCAATCACTTTGATAACTATTATTAAATTAATCCTAACGGTGTTTGAAATCAGAAGACAGTAAGAAGCGGCAGCCACATTTTATTAGCGGATAGAAGGGATAACAAATCTACAAGCATATCAAGCGAATTTGAAGCAGAGAGGAGAATGAATTTATGCGAGCAAATACATAGGCAAATTTATAGTCAAACTGAATATGGCGGGGATAAGAAAAGCAAAGGCTAATAATAGGATTCGAGTACATATATACATGGAGAAGAGAATGATTCATCGAGCGATATTTAGGCTACCAACATTTTAGCTAGAGTCTGTCATGTGGTCAAGAGTACACGTTTATACGGATGCGGTAGTAATCATAATAGTACAAAAAATATGTAAATTGTCACTGTTCGAATAACGTTGTCTGTTAAGTTAATAAAAGGGCTTAACAAAAATGAACAATAATCAAAATTAAATGTAGGAAAGTTGTATGTGAGAAGCCCAAAATTTGCTGCTGTTTTTATCTAAAGTGAGATGTACTACCTATTATTGGTAATTAGTATAAAATCTACTGAAGAACTAACTAAATCAACCTGAAGATTTTGCTATGTGAAATATACTTTAGAGAAGTAACATAGAAAAACAAAATACATGGCTAGTATAAAAATTTCTATATAAAACGGCTAATAATCAGTGATACTATTTTTTCAATCTTAATCTTTGTCTGTCTTTCCAAATTTATGGTCCCGCTGATCTAGATTTTAAGTGCAATAAATTAGTTTACATACTTTATAGAAAAGTATAGAAGAAGGAACATTTTTTATTGGGAGGAGGAAGAGGTTTAGGAATCGACAGAATATCAGCTTATTTACTGTTTGACTAGCTTTATGTACAGTATTAAAAAAGGCAAATCAATCAATATGATATCCAGTCTTAGTGAATAAATATATTTACATGAAACGATCTGAAATTAATAGCGTAAACTCATGTAATGATAATAATAAACACTGACATTCATTTTACTAAATAACATATGCTTGGTAGCATTAACGAACTTTTCATACAAAATGATATAATATTGCAGCAAATAAACACCACTTTAGAACGAATTTAAGTAGGAAATTATGTTGGAATTTTTTACAAAGTAATTATCTGCCATCAACATTTAAACACTTCCAGTCAAGTTTGCCCCGACAACTGTTTTGATACGTAAATTCAGATTTGATCACCTTTCCTTTGCGTAAAGAATAAACAAGAATGAGCAAGTACAGACTTTCCCGATTGTTTGCTTTTGGAATAGTTAGCACTTTAATAGACTGTGTGTTTTATATAAATTGGATAAGTAAACTGGGCGTTTAAAATTCACATTTGATGAGTATAAATTAATCTGGAGTCACAAAATATATTCTTACTAGTTAATATAAGTATTTTGTGGAGATTGTTGAGTGTTACTCAGATTACGAACCAACTTAAGTTAGACAACCATTGAAAATCGGGGAGTATTTTCATCCAAGAGTACTAACGAAGAGCTGTAACTAGTGGATTTTAACCACCGAAGATAGTAGATGATGGTCGCCTGATATCTCGGACTGATTGAAGATAGATTTATACAAAACCGGATGACGGTTTAGTGGTCTAAATGTTTGGAGCTCAACGCATGGTCTAGAGGTACTGAATTTGGTCAGCAGTGGCGGAATCATGTATACGCACTACTGAGAATTTCAATAATAGGACGAACCGGGAGTCCAGAGCTTCCTAGTTTCCAATGGTCTTTTAACTTTAGTCGGTTCGTGATCCCAGTAATATTCCTATGGTTATGTAGATAAAGTAAGATACTCAAATTTTGTGAAAACAGTATTATAAAGTATTTCATGAATTTTATTACATTAAATAAGGCTAACTAAACAAATAATATCCTACCTACTAAGTTTTAGATTTTGTTCTAAACGTTGTACAGGTAACTGGAAGTATTATTTTATCCACTTCTTAAAAAAATGTACGTAAATCTAAATTTCAATTAGCAATGCAAGAATATTTCATAAGAAAGTAAACAATTATTTTTAGTTTCGTCTACACGCTAATGTTTAAGAGGAAATTATTTCATAAATAGGACAATTCACGTTATAAGAAATGAAAAGGGATGTTTGTGATTGCTTGTAATAAACAACTATTATTAAGTAAATGTAGTTTCCATAGTAGTGATGAGAAAAAGAAACAGATGAACCAAACACATTGATACTATGGAAATTAAGAATAGTATGGTAAATATCTGTTGGGATATATACATTTAAGAAATAGTACGAAATGAATATATAAAATCAGAAGACAGTCAGAATAAATGATAAATTTTAGTTATATAAATGTCAGTAAATCTTAGTTACAAAATTATCAAATTTGCAATTACTTCTCCCTGTGTGTGCACATGTCCGTAAACTCGTAAGTTGGGCGACATTATATAACATGTTCTAAACAGTGACATACTGTTCGAAATTTTAAGAATGTACTGAATTTATTATTTTTCAAAAACAACTATCTTGACATTATAATTAACCCAGTGGGTTTAGGACTTCATGCCAACATATGGACATTCGATTCACTGCTAAATCATAAGGTAATATAAATAACATTTTTAAGTGCAAGAATGTACTATTATTGATAAAATAATATAATTCCTAAACAATAGTTCAGTAGAGGAAGCAGGTCAAACTTGGATGAATATGTAGGGGTCGGGATCGAACAATGTTGGGAAAAGACGAAGGTATACGAGAGAATTCTCGAAAGGATTTGCTTTTATGTACCATACTATCATTGTGATCTAAATAACTAACAGTGAACTGATTTATATATTTTTTGCACAGATGGTGGGTTCAGTCGACTACCTATCTGGAGTATATGAACTGGCAGTTCTTTTGATATAGTTTAACTAACACAATAGTACGTTCTCAATGTACTGCTATACTTTTATTTGTCTTATTTCGTCTGAGATTATCATTTTGTATCCATTGGTACATACAATACAGTATATACAACCTCGTTACTGATAGAATTAAATTCAACTTTGTAATATACTATATACCTATCTATCACAGACCTTAGTTTACAGTTTATACACCTAAAGACCCTTAAAACATTCATTGTTGAAATGTTACAGCTTTCTTATTGTCGATTGTTTTACCTTGAAGATACAATCACAAATTCTGCTTATAATATATTTATGAGTGTTTCGGAAAGTTTCAAATCATAATACAGATCATACAAACAGATTTTTTAAAATCAAAATCGAAATTTATGATAGTAAATAAACAAAAGTTTGAATTTATATAATTACATATTCCAGTTAATTTGTTTATTGATTTGTTCGTTTGGAAATCTGGATTTCTTCTCTTCACTAATTAATGTACATGGGAAGATCTCTATTCTGTGCACTCTATGAAATGGAAAACATGTATATGCCAAACAAATTGTACGTTGAATGACCTTTATCTATTGATCTAGTTCAGTTAGAAGTATGCAGTGAATGTACGTCATTGTATAAACGATCAGTTAATTATATTTTTTACATCGAAAAAAGATTGCTATGGGAGCAACAAAATTAAAATAAGCCATTCTAAACAAAAATATATTTTATATAGAAAATGACATTTATGTTATCAAGTATATTTGTTGAGTCACATTAGATAAAACACAGTAAAGAGACTCTGAAGAACATAAAATGAAATAAGTTAATATATCACCGCTGTAATATTTTTTTTAACTGTAAAAGACTATGTTTTAGCTTGAATTTACTCATAGAAAATAGCTTATTGAGATGTGTATTTCGAGTAATTTTGAAAATATTTGGTTGATTAGTGTAGACAACAGGTTATGATCCTTATAGCATAGGTTTAAATAAAATATTAAGATTTTGATAGCTGAAATTATTCGCGACATTTTCGATGTTCATTCAGTGTGCGTACTAAAAGGCCCTTTTCTTTTATTTATTTAATGAATAATTCGTATAAGTGTCATTTTTATTAGAAACTTAATTTTGAAAGTTATTTCTTATTATATTTATATCTCATTTAGCATGTCTGACCGGACCACGTTGGACATGCTGATAGCAGATACTTGAAGATAATTATGGCCACTGCAATTTAAATCTTTAAAATTGCACCTCGATATTCTTAGGGAAATTATTCTTTGAAAGGATACACAGGCTGAGTACTAAACTTACTGCTACAGCTTTACGTCTTTTTAGGAAAAAGTATATCTCGTTAATTGACTAACTCAAAATACTAGAGTTTTATGTTCTGAGAACACAACATTTTAGTACACTCGCATATTTGTATATAAATGATTCGAGAAACGAGTTTGTGAACATAAAATTAATGCTGTACTTTCTCATTTGATTGCTAGTTTACATCATCATGTTGGTTTAATATAAAGCTTTGAATGATCATCTACCGATTTGCTTATAATTACAATTCATATAGGTGAATTATTTTTTGTATAAATGGAACATTGTTAGTACCTTCATGCGGAGCAATGGTTAAATTATTTGATATCCAATCAGTAGATCAGAGATTTAAGTCTCCTCATCCTTCAACAGCTTTATTAACTCTCCATAAGATAGTGTGGCTTAAAGTCAAGTACATAAAGCTATTATTGGTATGTGAGTTAGATTAGTATATAAAATAAACGACTGAATTTAATGAAAAAATGAACTAGTCCTATCACACAAATCTTTATATTCATCTATTTATCAAATAAAATGACTTTCAAACTCAAAAAAAATGTAAAGAAAAATCTCTTTTGTTTCTTTTATTGTTACTTTTTTTAGAATTTTCTAAAATATAATTATGAGATCAGTATAAATGGGTTGATTAAATTATTCTGTATGATAATAATCATAAGAAAAGGAAAAAAACAGAATAAAATATTAAATGCATATAAGTAGTATAATTCAGTCAAATTATAAATATATATATATGAACTCTTTTTTAACTTAATATTATTATTAAATAAGCTGGTATATATTCTCTGAACAGAAAAGTAACATAGAAATTTGAGAAATAAGTCATTAATCATAAAGAATATAAGAGGAAGTGAAGGAAATGATTATTCAAAAAAATATGCAAAGTAAGGTGAATATGAAAAATATAAGAAATAATTTATTTTTCAAATGGTTTAATTTGATTACATGGTAAAGGAGTTGAAGTTATTGATTTAATCATGAATTTTTCCACTTTATCAATACATGCCTCTTGATAATCATGAATCCAACTAAGAAATGAATAAATAAATAAATAATGTAATAAATAATTCATTCATTATGTAATTGTAATTTATTAAAATACAAGTTATTATATTTCATGATAAATATTATTAACTAACAATTGGCATAATTTCACTGGTTGAAATCATGAGTCATTTGAAGCTAGACCACCATGAAAAACCTGTAAGCAGTGGACCGCCGTTTTGTTCTAGTATGGGACTTCTCAGTAGTGCGCATCCACGATCCCGCCCTCCGCGAGATTCGAACCCAGGACCTATCAGATTCGCGCCAGGCGTTTAACCAACTAGACATATATATAAATTTACAATTATCTATTATTTTGTTACTTGAGTTCATTTTTATTTCACTGAACTTACTTAACTGCATTGTAGGTTGTTATTGACCTCAAATCCTCTGGCAAAGACTCAGCTGGTGGCCATGTAAAATTATCAGTAATTGGTATTATATTACATCCACTTTCCAAGGCACATACAACTTCCTTGATAAATAAAAAAAATGTACAGTAATTAGAATGTTTAATTTAGTAAACAGATGAATAATACAACAACAACTAATTTATGATTCTAATAATGTTATCAATGTTTCACATACACATTTTGAAGGCACCTGCTGTATGTGAATCATCATTGAATAAGTTAGATCGCATTTTCTAAGATCCGACCCCTTCATAAAGTGATTTTAAGTTTATTTGTAAGAGACACACAACAACTGACATCACTGTGGTCAAGACATCAATGTCCACTGAGTTTATAGATGAAACGATTGCCTAATATACAGTCTTAAATTTTGTTTCATAGCAATTATTACGTTTACTTGTATTTCCCTTTCCAATCCAATTAACTTAGAACAAAAGTGAGGAAATAATTATTGTAATCAAGGGTTAGAGACTTTGAGTGGCATGACATATGATCGTTCGCAATTGCATTATTGCAGCCACTTCTTATCTTCGTTTAGAACTTGAGTCCTGAAATCTCCTGAAATCTTTTTTTCTATACTTAATCTTTTCTACTACTACTATTACTGATACCTTTACTACTTCTACTACTTTAAGATTTGTTCCAGCAACTTGCAAAAACAATGAGTAATGAAAGCAGCTATAAAATGTTTACTTAATAATAGTCATTTATAATTGTGATTAGCAGTTACACTAATGAAATTGTTGGCGTACATAACTTTAATTTTAAAAAGCTTTTACTAGATGACGAATTATTTACACGTAAGTATCTATTAACTAAATAAAACTACGAATTATAAATAATCATGTTGTTTGGACATTGAACACAGTTGAGATACATAAACAATAAACAATTGAAATTTAGTCCAAAATACAGTAGAAGTAGAAAACAAAATAGAGGAAATCATATCAACTTTAATGAAGAATTGAAAAGAGAGAGATTACAAGCAAAATAAGTCAACCCATTTAATTTTATGTTGGAAATTACTAAAACAAAATAATGCGTACTATTTAGAATGTATGACTTATAAATTACTAATTGGTGACTGTCTATTTGTTTATTATTTTATATCCATTTAAACGTATTGCTTCAAATCAAACTCTTCTGTATATTCATGACTTTAATTAAGATGAATTTATTTTAGGTCAACAAATTATTATTAAAAAACTGTAGAATGATTCTTTGATTTGTAGATGTATGTGATGTTTAGAAACTAGTTTCGAAAAGATTATTTCAAGTGGAGTATTCCCCTGAAACGGCTATATATATTCACATACCATATAATAATGAAATAAACGCATATATAGATAAAAATTAACTAACTTTATGTATCCAATCTGTACAATGTATATCATTTAAACATCTATCTAATGCTCTTGGTGTTAAAACAAGAACAAAATTATATGATGATCTAATAGAATGAAGTAATGATTCATGAAATTTTCCAGCAGTTAAACGATCAATATCTAAAAATACTCGATAGCCACGTAAATGAAAATGAACTTTTAATAAACTCGCCAGTTGAGAACCAGTAGAACGACGGTAAGAAATAAATATATCAATATACTTGTTTGGATGACTTGAAGCGTTTAATTTGGAATCATTATCTGTAAGACGTAACTGATTATGTATTGATATGGAAGCTAAAATGAAGGATAAGAAAAGTACAGTTAATCGAACATGTGAATGTTATGTCAATAATGATAATAAAAGTTATAAAAATAAATTTATAAGCACAGTAGTTGTGTATGGCCTAATATTTCAGTGACATGGCCCAAGACAGCAAGATGATCAATGCAAAAATCTCTTAAGTCGATATTATTTGGTAATCGGTGATATTGGAATCAAATTTGTTTCGTCATAATTTGAGTGCTTGCACCTATGCTGAGGACCTTAGATCTACAGAACTCACTTGGAAAAGGTCCTAATTCTGTAATTTTATTCTGAAAATTTGAACTTTGTGTTCTCGCGCCAAGAGACGCTTGGTTGACCTACAGCTTACATTTCCCACTCGGAAATCCTTGACCGTCATTAGTTGACGGATTTTTTTAGTACGCTATTTTGTGACTCTCCCAATGGCGTTTCTATCATTGTATAAATAAGCTTGATTCGTGTGCTTAGTAAACTCTTATTTTCTAGGTGCTTGTAGAATACATTCTCTACGCCTCATCAAGACTTCTTGATCTAGTTAGCGGGGCCGGGACAACGGATTATAATAGCCTATCGTGTCACTGTATCTTTGACGTTCGTTCCGTTACCGAGTAAGGTGAACTCGTAATAGCATTCAAGCATATCAACCAAGCCAAGACAAAAATTAACATATATCGTCAAAACAATATATCCTCAAGACTTCTTACCGTATAACGTGTTAACTGAAAGATTTATAAATGTATGAATTGTTTTCACCAACCACACGAAATGCTTATCGCGATTATGATTAAAATTTTTTATTCATAGTGGAAATTTGTTATCTTTTGGTGTAGTTTCAGATTTCGCCCAGTAGTTAAATGATAACAAAACTCTGCTGTCACTTAATAATTAAGGACAATGATCTTGATGGAATCGTAGTGTATAAAAATCAAAACGATGGACTAATCATACTATATAGTAAATTCACAATATTATGCTCATCAGTTTATAACGACAGATTTTAGTTAATACCATATATAACTAACACATTATACCCACAAGCTTTTAATTGTAATCAGGTGTGGAAACTTAGTTTGCTGTGATAAAATGATCAACTAAAGAGAAACGTACTATCTATGAATGCAACTTGTGGATAAGTTAGTTACTAAACAGCTGACGGTTTGTTCATTGTGCTCTGTAATGATCAATAAATTACATAAAATTGAACTTTAGAAAACCAAAAGTTTATTTAAACTTTATACGCTAGATTGTAACCAATTAATTGATTTCACCATCACATGAGGTTAGGTAGAAAAGGCAGTAGACTACATCAAATCAATCAAATAATTATCTCTTTCAAAAATTCACCAATCAACTGAATGAGAGGATAGACATTTTTAAGTCCACCTTTATGTATTATTTATCATATGATATGAATGAAAATTGTGCAATATGTTTATGAATAACATTTTTCGAAATGTAAGACAATAACAAGAAATAGTTAAGTCAACGTGTTGTGGTTTATCTACCATTAGAGCGAGGGAAAATGTTATTTGTATGAGGCAACGCGATAAGGTTTTACTATCAATAAATAGCATGTTCAATGAACTTTTTCATTTTTTTATCTTCAACTGTTGTGAACCATATGTCTAGTATATGTATACTAACGATGTTGATTTGAAAAAGAACAAAACTCAGTTGAATAGATTGAAAATCTATTAGCCAGTAATTGGATATGGAATATTTGAGGAAGAAAAATACATAACAGATCCATTGGGCGGAAGCTATTGAAAATGTACTTGGATTTTGTGCGAAATCATGTGCGCGCGTATTTTGATATAGTTTCATGAAATTTATTTATGATTAAGCGTTGCATACAGTCTTGGTTTGTTTACGTAAGAATATTAGATATTGGCTTTAATTTCTGGTGACAAGGAAAACAACATATTATCGTTTACGAAAGTATAAAACGAAGTAGTAATAAATAAGTTCATTGTAGAATTAAAATTGATCGTGGTAATAATTCTAAGTATTAGTGTCATAAAAAATCTATATCGAATTAACAACTCAGTTGTCTTATAGAAAAGAGGCTTAATGACATACTATACGGTAGGCGAATAATTATGATGTACAACTTTGTTTTATTTCAATTTAGATAATTTGAGTGACGTTTCTAAGATAAGTTTGAGTCGCTATTGACCAGAATCCTTGCTGTATGATAACCTGACTTATTTTCAATCCAAAAGTGTTTTTTCTTGCAAAATAGTAATCTAAATATTAATCGAAAATACAGTTATCTAATATAGTAAGCATTTCGAACCAACTTTAAAACAGGTAAACGCTACGTTTTACTTACATTGTATTGCTTCTAAAATTCGTTTACGATGTATTCCATTTTTAATGTGACAATCTTCTAAAAGCATTTTATCTGATAAATAAGGTAAGAAAGGATAATGTACACCAGCTGAAATAAAGTTATATGAATATTGAAGAAGATCGAATGATTGATTTAAACAGGACAAATCATGTGTATAACAATATTTCGAGGTATATTCTGATGCATTAGTAGAAGCCGTTGTCCATTGAAAATCATTTTTAATTACAACATAATCTGATGTCGTTGGATTTCTTGGTGTATTCGTATTATTTAAAGCAGTGATACGTGTAGCTTCACGTAGCCAAGCAGAAATTCCAGTTGGATCAACAGCTGAATAATCTGCATTAATCTTCAAAGAGCATAATTCACGTAATAACCTGTTGTTGTTTTTTTAAAAAGAAGAAACAGTGAGATGAAATAATAATACATTTACCTAGATCGCGTGATTCCATTTTCAAGTCCTAAATCCTTCTCTAATTTGAATTCATCTAATCTAAGTAATAAATCACCATCAACACGTAGCTTTGAAAATTTACTAGCCAAATCTTCAAATCCTCTCTAAGAAAAAAGAAAAATTAAATTTCGTTTTATTGATACCATTCATTGTTTTATGTACAGTTAACAAAGCATTATGAACGACATAATGATAATTTAGTCAATGTTATAAAGAACAACGTAACATTATTCAATTTTTAAAAATATTCAATTTTAAAAATAGATTCACTGGCAGTGACTGTATCTTACGGTATCAGTTTATATATATATATATATATATTATGGATGATTGTTGATCAGTACAGCGAATAAATTGAAATTGAATATGTATAAATAATTGGATCCAAAATCAATGATCAAGATGACGTTTTGGGTACATGATGATGGGAGGGTCCGATACTAAGACAAAAGAGCTATCTAGTGCTCCCTGGTTTCAAATGATTGTCTAACCGCTCGGTGGTATAAACTATCCCCATATTCTTACCCTACTGAAAATGATAGAATTTAGTAAAGTCACACAGGAGCTGTCCAAAATAAATATCACGGCTTTATTTTCTGAGAGCTTAGCAAAAAAATATACACGAAATGTATACCGTTGCATGAGCTCAAAAGCATTAACCATAATATACATGTGAGAAAAAACGCAGGCGTAGTAGTTCTGTTAGTAGAGTCATGTGAGAAACATATCTGTTCTCTGCCTGTTAGTGATAAACAATATGGCGGTGATACTACAAGATACCTAATCATTGTAGAAATTGATGCAAAGTGGCTTATCCTTCTTCTTTACACCAATCCCGAATTGTTAAACTATAGCCATGTGCAGAGTGCCAGAATTAAAAACTACTTGAGCGAGGGAGACAATATTATGACATAGTTCATTCCAGATCATTCGATGACACTTGTCATTGGATTTGAAACTAAGACAGGAAGACAGTACTCAATTGCTTTTATCCAGACCAATGTTGTAGATATACTGTAATGTATTATTTCTCAATAATTCATAACATCCACTTTTTATAACCTACTTAGTCCATATCTTAGACGTATGGAGAAACAATTAAACTTGTTAATAACACCGAGCCCCAGACAGTTTTTTCTGAAGTATTATGAGACTAGAAATTCAAACGAAGTTATCACATTTTATGAAAGAATTTCAGAGACTTATATTATGAAAACTGGTAAACTGTAGTTAACCTCTATTTTATCAGTATGGTCCCGACAATTGTCCGTTTTGATAGAAAATAAGATGAATTTATGATTTCTCTGACTATCAAATATACATTTTACAGTCTTTAATATTTAATTAATTTAATAAAACATGAATCTGATAGTCTATTATTAGTAATGATATATACACAAATCATATACATATATGAACTGACTCGAGTCAACCAGCATTCAACTTCAGCATAATCCCATAACGGTACTTGGGCTGACAATCGACAAGGGACGTCTTCACCTAAAATATGTAGGGCCATTGCTGCGAATTTCGACTCAAGAAAAGTTGAACTACAGACAACATTACGCAAGATTTCTACGATATCTGATTCGTAAAACGCCTTAAAAAAGAATAATAATAGTGATACAATCAATTGAAAATAAGTAAACAAAATGTCAAATATTTAGGTTACTTGCCTGACTTAAAAACGTTTCAAAAGTTTGTTATGTATCTTCATTACAGTGTCTTAATTTCTTTATGGATGGTAAATAAGTTTTAGCAAAGGTCTGCCTAATAGTAAATAATAGTTTAGTTTCACTTTTGAAGAACTGATGCGATTCAGACTCAAGTTATACTACTCAGGTAACTCAAACGTAATCTTCTTACCTACAAACATTTTGAAGTATTGAGAGCGTCAGCCACTACACTCGTTTCAGTCTAATTAGCCCTGGTTTATTATTATCTTGTGAGATAACAATCGGTAAATAACAAGATAGTTTACGTTTCGCTAATTTGCATCATCAGGAGCAGGTAAGATATCTGACTACCTAGTGAATGACAAGTATATGGCACAGTAGATGATTTCATAGTAATCTACAGCTGTAGAACGACCAGTGAAGATAGCAGACATATATATAGTATTTATTCAACTACAAAGAAAAAAAATAAAAGCCAGGTGTAAAGATGTGAGATTGATTTGCTAGCTGGTACAGGAGTACATCAGGAAAAAATTTAGCGTGAACTAAATACAAATCACTTAGTAGCAAAGACAGTATTTCATATTTATACTATATTATGAATAAAAATATGAAGACAAAAAGTCAGTCGGTCAGTAAAAACGCAGAACTTCGTACATACGTACATCAGTTCGAGTTGCCATACCAAATCAGCACAGAGATAAAACTGTAGTTTCGAATCCCATAGTGGTAGAAGTAGTAAAAGTATAAGCAGTAATCGTGAAGATAAGGGTTTGGAGATGTTATCCAAGGAGTATAATCCAGTGAAATCAATTTGGAAAGAAAACAAAGGACATGAAGAATTCAGAAGATTAGAATTTGGGAGAACACAAAGAGTTGATGCACGTGCATCATTGCAAACGATTTTGAGGCATGTCATTCAAGGTCTCTAACCATCGGTTGCTATCATCTCGCGGATCCCAACCAGGTAGTCTACACCTAACAACATGACTCAATCCACTTGTCAGTGACTTCATGGATTTGTGCCATGTTTTGGTCTGGCCACCCCTGGCTTTCTTCCAACATAAACCTATACCATAAAAACATCGCACATCGTTGCAGTCTGTTGTTGGGTATACGTAACACGTATTCCAGCCATCTCAACTGATGAAGTTAGACGACCAGAAAGCATATTTTACATGTGAAGAACCACCAGAGCACTCATAAATTTATAGATAATACTTTGAAACATAGGGTTGAAGAAAATTGGGCAAAGTAAGTAGTTGCAAGCAACTCATTTTAACACTTTTGGCTAGATATGAAGACGTTTGTCAAGTTCATTTAACTACGTAAAACAAAGAACACATCTGATTGCCCAAACAAATTTACATCGAGTTGTTAGAATGTATTCTTTCGTTGATTATAGGTTCAATCAAAAAACTTGTTTACATGATCTCGAAATGTGTACGTCAACAAGTAATGCAAATATGTTATTTTATTTTTGCTTTTCATAAATTTTCTGACAGTTTTTTAATATAGTATCCTAGTTAGAGGAATAAATACTTTTCTATAAACTGTTTTAGTTATATTAAATGGATCATAAATTAACTAGAATAAAATTGTACATCATCTGTAGGTTATCAGTAATACATAGCATGTATGCTTATCTAACTGGACTGGACTACAATCAATAACGACTATGAAAAAGATAAATGTTTATTGGTAATAAGTTGATATTGAATTATTACAAGTTGTTATACACAGGAAGATAAAATTAAATTAACAACACACTTACATGGCTGCACTTCATATCAGATTTTAGTGTCGCTTCAACAGCAAAATGAAAAGCAACCAAAACACGTGGTTCAAATTGTTTACTGAACATAACTGGTACTAAACGTTTTAACCAATCGGCCGACCCCCCTGTATACCGATTTTCACAGCAATAATTTGCAGTGTCTGACTGATTGTTAGAAAAAGATGTCTGTGACTCTGAAGTATCGGATGCGTTCTTCTTACAAGTGTGTTGAAAAGCAGCAACTAAATGTTGACGAGCAAATTCTATTGGTGAATGTGAACGTACGAAAGGCATCACTAGGTTGAGTGTACAAGAAGCATTTACTGCAGCGGTCAATTCGCTTAAAAACAGAAGAGAATAATTGCAGCATATAATTAGTGAGCCTGCAAATGTCTTACTGATAAACATTCTCTTAGAGATTATCAAAATATTACCTGAAAAGGAAGTTAAATTGACAAAGAACATAAAAAGTGCTCTTAGCAGTCTAAACATGATTTAAGTACTTAGGAGTAAAGCGTAAACTACTGCTTTTATAAGAACAGGAGATTAGGTTCGAAAGGCTACCTAAACTTAAAACGTGTCCATTCTTATTAGTTATTTCTCTATCACCTTTTCTTTCCACTTCTACTTTTTCTTCCCTCTTCTCCTCTTCCTTTTTCTCTGCCTTCCACTTCTCTCATAGTTTTCCTACCTCTTCGCCTTCTTTTTTTCCGTTTCTCTACTCAGCTACTTCCTTTCACTCCTCACTCATTTCAGATTTTTCCTCTCCTTCACTTACTCCTCCTTCTTATACACCGATCGATTATCAAGCTTTGACCTCCATCAAGAACTATCCAATGTAAAAAAACACGTCTAGTTTTTGTAAACAGCCTAGCTCTACAGAGATTCACTCGGAAATTTAATTACCAAGTGGAAACATCACAAACATCAGCACAATGGCTAACGTTACGATGTTCAGGCTCTTAGCACTTTTTAAAATTGAGATACAATTTATCTGGATGAGTTTTAACAAACGTGGTTGATGAATCTTCCGACTGAATGCTTGAGCAGGTTTCCTAAGTTATTCTAATAACCCCACGCGAAATCTACACGACAACTTGAGCACGAGAGAAAAGGTGAGAAGTAAGGAAAGAACGCTTTGTTCCAAAGTTCGTTTATGCACAGAAAATTTAGGATATTTATAACATTACAGATGGCCTTGGGCTCCTGGAAGGTTGTAGAACCAAACTAAACATAGTAGCAGGATAAGTAACCATCGAATCAGAAATATGGTACGTAACTTTTCACTTTCTAGATGTTTCTGAGAGACTTCTATTCAATGCTGATTGGATAAAATGTTTCCCAGCGTCTTTAGGGTTCCTTAGGGCTTTTTTGAAGGAATAATATGGGTCGCCCCAACACCTTCCTCTAGTGGCTTTCCGACTTAAAAAGCTTAAAAAAGTGTTTATTGAATTTATCATATAATTGCCAACATGAAGACTATTCATGCGAACCTGAAAGAAATAGTTCCATTGTGATTGAGGCCACATGGAGCACATTACATATCTGTACACAAGTTGTATTCTGCGAGTATACACAATTCAGACAGTCACCAAGTATAAAAATCAATATATGTTAGATTGACTCGAGTAACATTTTTCATTAGTTAGTGTGAATTACGTTTCTTATTAGTCATAGTAATATAGACATTGAAATATAACCTTAGATAGTGGTATTGAGAAAATACTCATAAATTGTTATTTTTTCATAACGCAATGAGTAAGACACTAAAGAAATATGTAGAATCCAATTACTCACAATCTCTATTAATGATTTTTATCGTATTTAGACACGATAGTTTTTAATTAACAACGTTTTAGTTGAGTTTTTTAAAGCAAGAAACTCCTCCCACTCTTTTTTTTAAATGTTTGTAATTTTTGTTTCTATTGCTTTTGAACTTTATAACTTCTCAACATCCATCTCTTGATTTTTACGTAACTACTATCCTATTGACCATCCGTTAAAATTCTGTTCCTTCTCTGTTTCTTATATTACTCAACGTAGCAACTTCTTGATTTAATAATTACTTTGAATATTAATAATCCTCTTTCTTCCAATTACTCAATGTTAATTTAAATGTCATTATGTAATTATTACGTAACGTATCCACTCGATGAGTATTATATGATTATCAGAATGGGTTTTGTGGAGATTTTTAGAAATTTTACAAGTTGAAATCATGAGCCAATTGAAGCTAGACCACCATGGAAAATCTGGTCTAGTGGTTAAGTGCTCGCGCGCGAAGCCAGTAGGTCCTAAGTTCGAATCCCGCTGGGTGCGGGATCGTGGATGCGCACTGCTGAGGAGTCCCATACTAGAACGAAACGGCCGTCCAGTGCTTCCAGGTTTTCCATGGTGGTCTAGCTTCAATTGACTCATGATTTCAACTTGTGATATTATATCATTATTGTAAATCATATAGATATATTAGTGTAGAGCCATGATGAAAAACTAATTGAAAAGAAATTTCTTCGCTCGATTCGTTCCTTCTTTATTACTAATGAGCTTAGACTATATCAAAAACTATAGCTAGATTTAACTGATCGAAAAGCGTTTAATAATGCATTTTGTTAATGAAAAAAACAACATTCATTTGTGTACATATATTTTAAAACGTTTAAAATAGTTCCATGTTTTTGTTCATGATTCATTGTTTACTTATTCACTATTAAACACCTACGATTTATAAAAATTTGACATATTAAACGTAATTTAGAACAAGTGATGAGTGAGCAAGTCAACAAACCTACCGCAAATAATTTTTCTACGATCAATCAATCATAGTTTTAAAATGAAACATGTGGATTATCTAAATTAAGAAACTTAAGAGCTACGATAAACAAATCAAGAATATTGATCCATAACCATGCTCATCAAACCATACGGTACATGAAACGACGACAGTAAAAACCATTCATTATTGCTTAAATGGAATAAATGTATATTACCAATCAAGAAATTATTATATGAACCAAAGCCGAAAAACATTTACAACAATCAAGCTGGATTACTTACGGATTAGTAGATAGTACAGCACTAGTTAAACATGCAAAATATTTAATTACTTCATCTTGATGAAATGCTAAACAAAATAACCATTCAATTGCATGTTGACGCATCATTTCACTATGACTTCCACTCCCACCAAATAGTGCTAAACTCATTAGACAAACAGCTGCATGACGTAAAGATGGTAGATCACTTGAACGACAAGCATAAATTAAACTACGAAGACCACCATTTTCAACTACTGTATCACACATTGTTTCTGTATGCTTTAATAAAGCTAAATTAGATGATAAAATCGATAAAAAAATACATTGACAAAAAGAAATAATGTTTTCTAAATAAAGATAAAAATTCCTCATCACAGTCTTATTTATCCTATATTTCATTATCCGTTTTCTCTATCGTAACCCTAAAATGACAGAAGTATTTCTTATGATATCTTTGTGCAACTTTCAGATGTAACAGGAACATTATTAACATAAATAAATGACGTTTGAATAATGCGAACTTGATTTATAAAACACAACTATGCTTGTTTGTAACTGGCGGACATAAGAATTATTATATCTGATACATACAAAGGATATATCCAGCAAACATATCAGTGCTGAGTGACCAATTTATGGTTAAAGTCAAGCAATGGATAGTAAAGATACTTATAACCATGATAACATCAATATACAGCCTGCTTTTACTTGAATGGCAAATACACCTTGTATACGTTCATGTTCTAAATTTTACAAATGGAGTACATTTTAACAGGAACTGTCATTGGTGAGGTTACTCTTCAATGAGCTAGAATTCTACACCTTCCATTGGTAAGTGGCTAAAAGAAATGAGATTCTAGGACTAGAATTTGTTACATTTTTTACTAAAATGACTCAAATGCGTAAAGGATAATGCATAATGGCATGAAATATCGGGACGATGTCTGGAGAGAATATTACTTAGGGGTGGTTGTAAAGTTAATAGAACATTCTAATGTAGCTGTTGTTACCGCATTTCAAGTGAAAAGTCTGTTTACTCAAAATATGCTCAGAATACCATAACTACCTTTTCGAATAAATCATTCAGTTCAGTAATCGAAAATGAAGGAAACACTCGAACGTATCTGGAAGGTAGATCGCCCGGCTAGCTACTCTAATACCTAAAGATATTATCAATGTTGGATTGCGCTTTTGCCTTTTAAAAGAAATTGAGATAGAAAGTTCATATTCACAAGATATGTCTACTACCGAAAATTTCCTAACTACAAGAAACCATTTTTTAAGTGATCTCAGTTAAGAATAACCATCACCCATATATTAATCAATGTAAATATTGTATGCAAAAATGTATATTCACACTCGAGTCAAATAAATAATGACTCACGTTCTAAGATTCCCAAATATTCACGATAGATATCTACATCTTCACGGTATTCCCAACATTTTCCGATAATATTCTTGAGTAAATTAGTTATATGCCCATGTGATGGTAACTTATCATTGTACAGTAGAGGATTTTGCGTTGATGATAAAGCTGTGGGAGATAATAATTTTGTGGTACCACTCGTATCAATTGATTTTTCATAATCATTATCATAGGTGGGTGAAGTGTTACACGGAGAACATTCTTGTTTATGAATAATCAACTTATCTACTTTGTCAAACTCATCTTTATGCAAAACATTAGAATGCTTTTGTGAAACTAATTTCTTATCTAGTATTTTGAGCAAATGATTTTCTGATAAAATCTAAAAATAAAAAAAAATATTGATTGCTAAAACGTTTTATACGAGAAAGCACTAGTTTCAGGTTAACAATAACATTTGACTGTTTAAACCGAGTGCGGTTCGAACCTGCAATCCAGCGGTTGTCAGTCGAGTGTACTTAATAGTATGATTGGATCATATTGATGTGCAAATAGAAATTCAAGGGAAGCTTTATTCAGAATTCTATACAAAAGAAACTATTAAGCTAATTAAAGAATACTATCTATTGCAATCACATGAACATTAATCTACAAATTCTGGTTTCTATAGATCCCTTGTTTATCACATTCAATCTCGAAATATAGTGAATCATCAGTATGTAGGAACTTTCCAAAACCAAGCTTCACTGGCATTTGTCACAAACTTTTAAACATAGAATCATATTTTATTTGATTGTCTTTTCCCACACCCGGCGCTGACGATCAACTGATTTTTTAAATACTAATTGTTACTCAAAAAAACAGAATATTCACATTTCTTTTTAGTTCAAATCTCCTTATGGTTGTCTCGTGAGGTGACGCTTGTCAAACAGAACTGACTAATTATTTTAGTGTTCAAAAGGAATTTATGAAGGTTGTTGCAAATTGATGACACAACCATAGTTCACCGACAAGAAGTAATCAATTCTAATTAAAAACAATAATTGTTGCTTGAAGAGATATATAAAAACTTTCATCAAACATCAATATTTTACGTTACGGCACTACACTAAGGTATGTTACTTCTTACTTACTTCCGCCTGTTACTCCCAATGGAGCATAGGCCGCTGACCAGCATTCTCCAACCCACTCTGTCCTCCGCCTTCTTTTCTAGTTCCATCCAATTCTTATTCATTTTTCTCATGTCTATCTCCATTTCCCGGCGTAACGTGTTCTTTGGTCTTCCTCTTTTCCTTTCGCCTTGAGGATTCCATGTGAGGGCTTGTCTTGTGATGTAGTTGGGTGCTTTCCTCAATGTGTGTCCTATCCACTTCCAGCGTTTCTTCCTGATTTCTTCCTCCGCTGGGATCTGGTTTGTTCTCTCCCACAGTACGTTGTTGCTAATAGTGTCCGGCCAATGAATCTGAAGTATTTTGCGTAGACAATTGTTAATAAACACCTGTATTTTCTGGATGATGGCTTTCGTAGTTCTTCAGGTTTCTGCCCCATACAGTAGAACTGTCTTGACATTTGTATTGAAAATCCTGACCTTGGTGTTGGTTGCCAATTTTTTTTAGTTGCAGATGTCCTTCAGTTGTAAATATGCTGCTCTTGCTTTACCGATCCGCGCCTTCACATCTGCATCAGATCCACCGTGTTCATCAATGATGCTGCCCAAATACGTAAAGGTTTTTACATCTTCCAAATCTCCTCCGTCAATTGTGAATGGATTGGTGCATGCTGTGTTGTATCGGAGAATCCTGCTTTTCCCTTAGTGTATATTGAGACCTACTGCTGCTGAGGCTGTTGCCACACTGTTCGTCTTCTCCTGCATCTGTTGTTGCGTTTGGGATAGAAGGGCCAGATCATCTACGAAGTCTAGATCATCCAACTGCATCTTAGATGTCCATTGTATCCCGCGCTTCCCTTCAGACGTTGACGTCTTCATGATCCAGTCGATCACCAGAAGAAAGAGGAAGGGTGAGAGTAAGCAACCTTGCCTAACACCGGTCTTCACTTCGAACGACTTTGTCAACTGTCCTCCATGCACAATTTCGCAGTACAATCCATCATATGAGTTCTGTATGATATTGACTATCTTCTGAGGCACGCCGTAGTGTCGAAGAAGTTTCCATAGTGTTGTTCTGTCCACGCTATCAAATGCCTTTTCGTAGTCAATGAAGTTGATGTAGAGTGATGAATTCCATTCAATTGATTGTTCCACAATGATCCGTAGAGTTGCGATTTGGTCTGTACACGATCTATCCTTACGGAATCCTGCCTGTTGGTCACGAAGTTGGGCGTCTACGCAGTCCTTCATCCTGTTTAACAATACCCTGTTGAAGACTTTTCCCGGTATTGAGAGAAGAGTGATGCCCCTGTAGTTATCACACTTGCTGAGATCGCCTTTCTTCGGTATTTTGATCAGAAGTCCTTCTTTCCAGTCTTTTGGTACTTGTTCCTCATCCCAAATCTTATTGAAGAGAATGTGGAGTATCCTTGCAGTTGCCGCTACGTCTACTTTTATTGCCTCTGCTGGAATGTTGTCCGGTCCTGCTGCTTTGCCACCCTTGATTTGTCTGATGGCCATGCTGATTTCTTCAATTGTTGGTGGGCCAACATTGATTGGGAGGTCCCTGGGTGCTGCTTCGATGTTGGGTGGGTTCAGTGGAGCTGGTCGATTCAAGAGTTCTTTGAAGTGTTCTACCCACCTGTCTTGTTGCTCTTCAATGTTGGTGATTATCTCGCCTTCCTTGCTTTTCACTGGTCGTTCAGGTTTGCGGCGATTTCCAGAGAGTTTCTTTGTCGTGTCATACAATTGTCTCATGTTTCCTTCTCTTGCAGCCTTTTCCGCCGCCGTTGCTAAATCTTCCACATATTTACGTTTGTCGGTTCTGATGCTTCTCTTCACTTGTTTGTTTACTTCTGTGTATTCAGCTTGTGCCTTGGCTTTTTCTGCTCTTGTTCGACATTTTTCGTAGGCTTTTAAAGCGAAGCTGGGTTAATGAGTGCACTAATTATTATGAGATATAACTTACTTTTATAGTAAATGATACATAACAAAACAATTTTACAGAATAAACGACGGTTGTATTCTCAAATTTTTAATCAATGGAAAAAACTAAAGTTCTTATAACTTAATGTATCTTATTAAGTATTTTTTTGTATCTTACGTAGATTAATTGATATGTTTAAATTGATATAACAGTAATCTATAAAAAATAATAAACATTTTATTAGAAATGTTCTTAATATAAAACGTATTTTATCATTAATGTAGATTAGTAAAACCCTTGAAACTATTTTTCAACTTTCTACAGCTGAAAATTTACAAATATACTCGAATTCAATTAATAGAAAATGGATGGCAGACCCATAATATCCACTATTATCGTTAGAAATAGCATTACTGTAATATGCGCATTCTAGTCGATATTCTGTATAAATACCGGGTCATTTAATTTTTAAGTGGTATATATTCATCAGAATTTATTACTAATTTAGCCCTGAAGTAACTTTCAAATGGCTTATTTGTATTTGAAGAAATTATGAATTGAGAATGGATTCGTTTATATCAAATAAAGGCGTAACATATATTTACTCATACACAAAAATTAACTTGCCAATTTCATCGCAAGTTTTCAAGAACGATTTCATTTATTGGTCATGATGCAATGATTTATTTTAAAAATAGAACGGTGTTAATTAATCTGTTTTGATAATATAAATTGTCAAAAGGCTTTATGCTCAACTATCCATACTAACGTCTCTGAAATTGGTGACATTAAGTAATCATTATTCATAAAAAAAACTGATGAAATACATAATTAAAGTGCATATTAATTATGATACTATACATGTACATTTTGTTAGAAAGTTCCAGACAAAGTGACAATACGTGCAAATCGAACAAACATTTTAAATACCTGACTGAGTAGTCGTGCTGAGCCAATAACAACTCGTCTGCTAGCTTCATTATACTGATTGACCTTCGGAAGATTTAAGTCCGATGTTGTACTGGAAAGTAATTTCACAGGTTTTCCATCTACATTATCTGTAGATTCTGTGGATAGTTCACTTGTTTCTGGATCATCGTAATGAGAATATTGCTCATGGATATTCTGAGTAAAATCAGTAATAGGCGCTTCCGAAGTAGACTCAATAGGTTTGATAAGTCTTGATGCAATTGTTTCTAAAAGACCATCAGGTTTTATAAGATCGGCAGTTAAAACATTCAAATCAGCCTGATTTTCACATGCTTGACGTGCTTTATTTAACCAATATTCACAGTTGGTTATGGTCTAAAAAGTACAAAGAAAGTTAAGGTATCTTGATCATGTAATTGGATTGTTTGTTAAGAAACACATTTCTTCGTGAGAATGAAAACATGTAGCTTCGACCAAAATTGTTAGTCTATGCTTCGTGCGTGTTATTAGTCATAAAAATAATTTATCTGGAACTTACATTTGCCTACGCCTTATATGAAAATATATATGAATGACCGAACTGATCGATAAATAGAGCATTTTAGTTAACAAATGAATAAACAAGGAATCGTAGTTCTGGAACTAACGTTAAATAACTTTTGTTGTGATAATTAATAAAGTTGTAGTAAATGTACTAAATTCTATAGAATAACAAAACAATCGAAGTGGTCAAACTCTGTGGTTGTGTCGCAGTACAAGCTTTGATGATTAAAGTAGTTTTTCATGTACTCAAAAACCAAGTCAGTCTATCAGTTTTCCAGTAGAGAAAACACCACTAAAAAGAGGAAACAAATCAAACCCGTATTTATATTGAGCATTAATTTGGATAAAGTAAGAAGTTGAAAGTACTGAAGAAATGAATTTGTTTAATTGATGGAAAACGATCATTTTAATTATGAGACACCAAAAATTATTTATACATTCCCATCTATATAGATTCTTTGAGTTAATCGATAAGCAAACTTTTGAAAACGTGCTAAGAATATCGAACACATATGTGATCGATAAACGTTTTGGATGGTGGATTTTTCTCTGATTGTGCTCTGATCTCCATCAATCTCATCACTAAACCAATAAGCATTTACCTATCAACTTATCAGAGACCAGTAGAGCTGTCTGGCAATTTCAGACTTATCTTTCAAGACATTATAAATGTGTGATATTATGTTTGTATTTGGGATATATATACCTCGAACGACGGCTTAGAAATGTATATCTGTTTATGTAAGTATGAATATACAACTCAGCAGTTTAATTCATGCCGTTCCAGAGATGAAATGAACAAACATCTAGTGTTGGATAAATACGCTAATTGCCGGTAACTGATAATGAATGTTTGCGAAATATGTCAAACACCTAGCAGAAGAAATTAGTAAGAGTTAGGTACCAAGCGAAAGCTGGTTAATCAGTTAGTGAGATCGGAAACATTTATTAATCGATAAATGATAAAACTCGTTGCACAAACATCGTTAACATTTGTATGCTTTTTTGGCTAGAATGAGAGTAGACTGATTAATTAATGGTTGATGACACTATTTATGGCAATGTAGACGCATTTGTTTTTTGTATTCACCTAAAAGTTGAGTTTCATATTATTTCAGTCTTTTGGATTACATTTTCTTTATTTAATTATCCACTGAAGTTGATATTATTACGTTGACATTCATGACTGTCATATTTCTATTATCTTACAGAAATTAATTGCGATGAATCGAACAGATGCACATTTATGTAAGGGCCTAAGTTATTACTGACTGGTTGGTGTACTATATATACATGCGAGGATGTCATTAGTTTATTATTTTAAATTTTCGTTCAACTGTATTTTAGTTGGTAACTTTTTATTTTACGACAAATTTGGATAAGTAATCATCTTGTTGAGATAAATGAATTTTGGCAGAAATGATTAATTATTCAATCATTTTTACTTTCGTATCACAGATCAAATAAATTCTAAAGATACAATGTACTGAATTATATAAAACTTAAAAAGAAAGTAGTTACCTTAATTCGATGAGCTGTAAGGTGTAATTTTTACAGTCTACGATTTCTAATGAATAAATTAACAGAGAATGTAGATGTGAATTATGCCAGGTGCCGACATAATAAGCATTTTTAACTAAAACATTTTATTTTATCAAATCATAAATAGTGAGTTCATTCATTAATTTCAATAGTTCGATCACTTCACATATGATCAACATTAAACCTGTTTTTTAAATGACATCGTGATATCACAGAAAAAAAGGTTGGTGTCCATTTCTAGACTTGTTTCATCACATGGGGTTATTAAAGGGATATCTTAATACCACCTATATTCACAGGTTGATCACATATTTCAATGACGGCTAGTAGAATAATCGAACATCTGTACCAAACATGATATTGATAAATTATCTACTCAGAGGTGTGCATTTACGCTTTCATATTTAGTGATTTCACGTATGATATGTTCACGTAAAAAAGTGAATAAAATAACATGGAAAAACAATTTAAATCTATCTTTAAACACCTGATTCACTTAAATTTCATAACCTTTGTCAGATAAGTTAATTTATGTGTATCATAAAATGAATTAGTGTTTACAAAAAAAATACGGAATTCAACTGTTAACTTACTGCAAGAATCAAGCTAAAAATCTAATAACTCTATGAATAGCATTGATTTATATCTTAAGTAGTGCACGAAGTTTTCACATCGTATCACATAAACCTAACTAAAACATTTGATCAGTCGTATAAAACTTAAAAATTATTGATCAATAATGTTCTTTCCTACCCAGATTAAATCATTAGATTTACTCCAACTTAGCCTTTTACATTATTATTGTACTTTGATGAAGGAATTAGTAGTTTTACAGAATTAAAAAATGAAAATAAAATTTAGCACAATTTTAATTCGAAATGGTTTTTTGAAAAGTACTGTTTAATATCTTTTCAAATTTTCAATCATCTTTGGTTGTAAACGATTTATAATATATACAATTCCATGATTATTGGTTTACCTAAATGTATTATTTACATAGACATTATGTAAATATTATGAAAAGAAGTTAATAACATTAAAATCTGTAAATAAACACAATAAACAGTAATGCATTTTGTGAAGAGGTGGATATGTTTATCAAATATAAAACAACATGAAAAATTACCTATTTTATTTGGCTTTTATGAAAATATTAGAACAATAGAATTTATTTTTAGCTTCGTTTAATATGATTTGGTTAATTTTTGCAAAGTAATATTAAAATCGATACTAAGCACTTAGCAACTAATATGGGTATATGAAATATATTACATTTAATTTTACTTTTCTAGACAATAGTAATGCAGTAATTATGTATGAAAAAAGAATTGAATGAACACCGCCAATAATGCTATTATAGGAATAATTATGATAAATAATTAAAAGAATGCAAACTACAGGATGACGTCTATACAAAGAGTGTACAACAAAAATTAATTTAGAATAGACTAAAATTAATTAATTTTATCTTGTATATTTCAATGTTTTATAATTAAATGCAAGCATTACCTTATATTCTTCATTTAAACGATTCATGTCTTTTTCGTTCCGTACAAGTACGGAATTGTTATCTTGTGGTATTGTAGTCATTGTTGTTATAATATTAGCAATATTGTCTGATGGCTGCACGATGGTCGATAATGATGAAGATGATGAAACAGTGAAGGGTGACAACGAAATATGTCTTAGTTTTTCCATTTCTGATATCATTTTTTGTTCAATCATTTGAAAATTGTGATTACTTTTAGGATTAATATCATTAATAATTTTATTATCAACATTACCACTAGTATGATTGATAAATGTATCAAATCTATTATTAAGAACACTTGATAATGATGATGATGTCGTTGATTCGTTAATATATTCTTTTTTAATAGCTTTATTACCCATAATAATTGCGTCGTTATTTGTCAGATCAGATTGATGATCAGTAGTCTTTAAAACAAATTTAGAACTTGATGATACTGACTGATTTGCGTCAGATTTTGAACGATGCTGAACAGATAATAACCGAGTTGAATCAAGATTATAATCTCTTTGTTGCTGCTGTTCTTGAAACTGTCTCAATAAACGTGCACAGTCTATATATTGAAATGGTGTAAATGGTGTTGACTGTGAACGATTCGTTCCATCTTTTCTCATTATTGGTGGTAAGTTGTGCTCTCGAAAATGCACACGATGCACCTGAACACGTGATGTTGCTAAACCAAACACATATATGTAAATAAGATTAGAACTAATAACCAATCAAATTCTTTAGATTAAAATATTTTACTACCGCTAACAACACGTTAATGCCAACATCCTAACAAATAAGAAATTCCATACACATTTTTTCGTTAAACTTGAAAAGAGCAAGAACAACAGTGTAAGCAGAATAACCTAGATTCCTTCTATTTCATTTTATTCTCATACAGTTGTTAAAAACATTTATTGCTCAAACATCATTACTATAAATGAAATTCAGAATGCTTCAACTGATAAAAATAAAGTTGGTCACTAGCTAGCAAAAATAAGTATGAGGATATTGATATAAGGAATCCTTATAAAGAATTGATAAGATGTTAAGATCAGATCACATTAAAAAAGGTTTAATATGATATCTAATTCTAGCATCTAAACTATTCGGTTTTATTTTATTTGGATTATTAAAATCCTTGTTACACTATTTACGAACTAGTTTGTAATTAGCTAACCTTATAAGTCTTTTTATCAAAGACAAAGCAGCTACATGGGTCGAACAGAAATGATGGTATGCCTTAAATTTTTTGAACATGTTCCAAAAAGCTTCAGAACAACAGAGAGAACGACTTTAAACAGTGAAATTTCTAGACATTTCTTGAATAAAGGACACCAGGTCGATACCTTCAATCATTTAAGGTGATTAACAAACAGAGAAGCTTCAATCTTCGGAAGTTCGCTGGAGCCGCTGCTATCAGGCGTCGAAAACCTGACTTATGTGTTCAACAGTAGATGGCTATTAATCTTTCCTTGCCTTGGCGACAAACATTCCTTCATTGCATGTTAAAAATTTTTTAAAACCTTTATTTTATTACATCATTACGTCTTTTTATTTCGATTGCCTTTTTGATTAGTAATCTTATTTTATTAACTGAACTTTACTCATCCTACTCTTATCAGCGTTCACTCATTTCGTATTCACTTATTTCTAGTCCATTGGACCCTCGTTACAATTAATTCTGTAGAATGTTTTTTTACATAAGGTATGTATTTGCAGTATTACGTCTATTAAATTCATTTACACCCTTGCTGTACTGTGTCGTCAAAATAACTTCCGACTAAAATATTTCATGTAAGTAATTTAAGCCCATTCTGTAATTATGACTTATAAAAATCACAGGTTGCAAGCAGCCGATGAGAACAAACTGAAATAAAATGGTCAGTATGAGGTTGTGGAGATTGTTAAGGTCTTGATTGAGATCATGAATCGATTGATGCTAAACCACCACTGAAAACCTGGAAGCGCTGGATGGCCGTTTCGTCCAAGTATGGGACTCCTCAGTAGTGCGCATCCACGATCACGTTCGCGGGTTTAGAACCCAGGACATTCGCTCCCGGGAACAAACGCCTAACCTCTAGACTACTGAGCTAGTCTGCTGAAATATCTGTTCAAGACGATATGGGGAACCATGTGTATGAAATAAATTTTAAAAAAAGGATATCGCTTTAACGTTACAGTTTTGCAATTTCGTAAAATAATAGTCTGGTTCGTGGTGCACAAAGCACTATCAAATATGAATAAGAACCAGTTTGTGGGTTAATATTTGTTCAATTACTAGACAAAATTTTGAATCAGTCACTTTAAGTTCCTCAAAGTACAGTAGAAATTACGGTTGCTAGCTAAATACCAATTTGTATTCTAAAAGAGTAAAAACCACTCATCGCGAATTCAACTTTCGTTTAGCTTGATAATAAGAACTTGTTTAAATTATTCCAGACCTAGTCACTTGTTATTCTTGTTGCAAAATATTCTGAAAACCATTATCATTCAAAGTGTAATTAATCTTAAGCTACTTTTTTTTCTCTATTACCTTCTGATACTTAGATATCTTCAAGGGATTTTATTTTATGAAATCATGTGCTCACTAGTAACCAGCTTCAAAATTCAGATCCTGGAATTCTAGTGAAAAACCGAGGCCAGTGGACTTAAATCCGTGTCGAGAGTGAGGCATTTATCCATAAAATTCAATGGACGAGTGTTTTGTCATATCACGGATTAATTAAAGTTGGGCATTAATGCCATCGGACATGGGCTCAGTGATCTAGACGTTAAGCAATCGCACGCGTAATCAGGGGCCCTGGGTTTGATTTCTATGCGCAAAGCCACAGATAAACACTGTCGAGGAGTCTCACACTAGGAAAAACGGCAATTCAGCGCTTCCAGTTTTCAATAATGGTCTAGCTAAGATCAGTATTATTTAAACTTTGCAAACCTAAACAAACGTACAACTCTTTCAGTTAGTTTATTCTATTCAAGTCAAAAAGTGTCTCTTGTGATGTATTGGAATTTGTTATGTGCACACGAAATAGCACTACATGTTCTTTTACGGAAAAAACGCAAAAACTAATAAGAAGCGGGGATTTAAATAGGTCGTAAAACACTAGTAAGTCAAGGTTTCGGGATGTACGTTACAACAGCGTAAAACATTCTATATTAATTTACCAGATCCACTTGACACCTTTTCTAATTTTCGTACTTCGTAGCTGCGTTGTGATCTGTCTAATCCACAACTAGGTGTTACGGAGGCTTCCACAGCTTCTGGTAAGTCCCAATAAACTCGTGCTTGTTCTGAAACATTTCCAGATGTGTCGCTAAAATAGAAACCACGGATTAGTTGTAAAAATTTTAAATGTCACATTACCACTCGTCGATCGGAAGCTGCCCGTCAAGAAAAAAGCTTGCATCACTAGTTGAACGCTTCCAGTTAGAGTTCTCATCTTCTGTAGAAGAGTAATTGGAGTAATCAAAAATGTGTTCACGAAGTTCGTCATGTTTCGATGAACTACTGTGTAAGTTCATCCTGTATAGTGATGGAAGGTTGTAACAATAGCAGTATCACAAGCCTGAAGCTTTTTCAGTAGCAGATCAGGTTAAAAAATGTAATGAACAATCAAAGTTTTCATAGTTTGTTTGCAAAATCATTAGAATAAAATGAACTGATATTTTATTACACAAGTAATTTTGTGCCTGAAAATAAGAATTTTGAACACGTCAGTAAATTTATAATATTTTAATGTATTAAATTATTCCATTATAAATTTTCCGGCGAATTTCGTGTAGTGAATACACTACCTTTAGGTTAAAATTATCCGTTGTGATGAAAACTGAATTCTCAAGAAAAAACATTGATAAATTTAAAATCGAGGAGAGTTTTCACAAACCAAAATATTCGTAATGTTTTTACAAGTATTAAAAATAATTTTACTACGAAAAAATTCTTAAGGCTAAATGGATAGTTTTATTTATTTAAACACGTAAACAATGATACAAGAAGGCACCAAATATATTCGCCAAACTTTGTCATTCGATTTGTATGTGAGCTGGAATACTGCCAGGGTGCCCAAAGCGATAGTAACATCAGTGTTCAAGTTATTATACGTTTAGTAAATTAAAAGTAGAGTACGACATAAGTATTCCAGCTAGTGTTATATGGACTAAGAACGCGCTGCGCAGATTACTGTTTAATTTGAACGTGACTGGACAAAAATACTTATGTAATACGAATAAGCTCTATATTTTGGTGGTTTCGGATTGACTTTTACTCACTTCATCAAACCTTAAAAGGTGGATAAACATTGAAGAGTTTATTCGCTGATACTACTGATGACCACACAATCGAAGATCCTCAATTTATAAAGAAATCAGACTTAACTTTGATGGTTAGTCATCAAAGATGTAGTTTTTAAGAAGCCAGGTTTGAACGTTTTTCCTAACTTTCTAATTTCAAAACTTTTTAAACAGGTTTTGGTCAGAGTTTCGATGGAACTTGATCACAGAAAAGTTGTTGTGTTTATGCACTTACTCTGCACGTCACATCAGTGCAACAGTTAACCTATTCAAGAGTAATAAAAATTCTTATTCATTAGTTTGTTTATTTATACTCTCTCGTTAACTAAAGATATTCCTGCTCAACAGGTCGTGAACAGTATAAAACTGATAAGAACTCAGACTTTAAAAAACTGAATCGCAGACACCACTTGAGCTGCATTACATTCTCACTTATTTGTTAGCACTTTATTCTTTAAATGAAGTTCATCCAGTTTTATGTCCTTTTGCATTCCGATTGATAGGATATTAATACTTACAAGAGCTGAGGGTATTTTTCAACAACGCATAAAAGAAAAAAACATCCTACTGAAATCGTTCAGCGATTTCTTTTACTACTATTAGGAAACGTAGGATTTACCAAGATAAATGAATTAAACGCAGTTATTTCCCTTCCCAGGTAGTAAAACTTAACGTGAGTAGACAATATTGAGCTCCCGATACAAAAAGACATTTTAATACATTAAAAATAGTAATTCCTTGTGATCTAAGCTGACCACAAGTAAGTTAACTTATAAAAAGGAAGTGTTTGAAGCTGTTAACTTAACAGTGTTAATAAGATTGTTTCCAACAGAGCCTCTCCGAAATACATTAAAAAATTACATTTCCAAAGCTAGTAAAGCATTCAAAGTTGATGGGTAAGACTCTTTTGCAGTTAAAGGATTGTTCGATATCAGCCATCCTTCTTGCTTTACTTTAACCTGAAGCCACCTAACATGTCAGATACCACTAAACTTTTGTAGCCAATGTATTGTTCCATTACAAAAGATTTCTGACAAATTTATGGGGTACATTTAGAAACGTACTTGCTTCCCTTTCTAAATGTGCTCATACACTAACTACTAAGTTTTCATTACTTGAAAAGTATTTTGGGGAGGAATAAATCCCCCCTGGTTCCAAATCATGCTTGATTTGCACAACTTCAAAATTAAATCATTCGGTACGAAGCGTTGGATAAAGCGTTGTTTCATGAGTCAATAACGTTTACTGGTTTGTTTAGTCTATGAAATCAGTAAAAGAGAAAAAACTCACTTAACCTATTAGTGAGGTACGGTCATCAAGTTCCAAAAAGATTTCTATTTGGTTATTGTTTTAAAATTCAAACTACAATCTTCACTAACCTTAATTTGCAGTCATGTGTCTAAGCAAGTAACGAATATGGGAGTGATATGAACCAGCAGTATCGCTGCAATACTGTTTCTGAGGAGAATCTGCTCGGCAAAATTTCCTTTTATTTCCCCAGTTTTTTGTCGAGTTCAAATATAGAAACTGCTTATGACATCAAGAATTATTGTGTATGCTTAGTGGCCAATAACGAGGATGTGTTAGCAAAAGCCAGATTGAACCTCCGGAAAGCAAGTATGCGAAGTGCTTAGAAAGAACAGTGGTAATTTTCCTCGCTGAGTTAGTATTATTATTTTGATCATAAATTACGCATCAAAACTACTGCTTTCACTTTAGTCGAATTTATTTCACTTAAAGTATTCGCCAAGAGTATCGTTTTTTCAAAAGCAATTTATCGGTCGTACTTTGGAGTACGTTGGATTTTTCATACTTCTCTGGACATTTGGGTCTAACAGTTTTTCACTTTTTTTCTGGTCATCAGTTGCTTTTTTCTTTGGATATTGTTTGTGTCTAGTTCCTTTTTGAAAACCTCCGATCGATGACTGAACGGTACAAAAAGACCAATTAGAACTCTATGGTCAATACGTAGGGCCTTTAACTATGACGACGCTAAAACTTTTTTGACTTTGTATACAGTACCGTGCATCCTAAACTCAAGTACAGCATACAAGTGGCTGGTCCTTGTCTAAAAAGAGACAGCGAGCCATTGGAAAAGGTTCAAAAAACCTCGAATAAGTTGATTCCTGAGATAACAAAGCTCCCGTATGATGCTCGACTGGCTAAGCTAAACCTATTTCCATTGTCACATCGAAGAATCAGTAGCAACTTGACCATAGTTTCCAAATTACATAATGATAAATTTGCGTTAGATGTGCTCTCGTTTTTCTTTATTTCCAAAGTGCAAAATTTACGAAGACAACATTAATGGTTCACAACCCCAGAACAAACTACTTGTCAGTTGACGGTCGACTTTCCCATCCAATCATCAACAAATGTAATTCACCATATCAACATGTGATTGAAGCTCAATCTATCTATGCTTTCAAAAAAAAGTTGGATCAACTGAAAGACCACCATTACCAGGAATAACCGAGGCCACCTAGCCTCCCCTCCTTTCCAAACTGCAACTGAAACCAGATGACCTCATGTTCAGAACTTTTGGCGAACGCAACAGTAAGTGATTAGTCTGCCCTTCAATTACATGGATAACTTAGGCTATATGCACTACATTCCTAAAAATACTACAAAACCAAGATTATTAGTTGAATATAAGTATGTAGTTTATGTCGGTCATTCGCATAACTAAGAGTAGAGTTCCAGATGTTTCAAGGTGGCAAAAGCTGTAGGTTAAACTCTCAGGTTTAACTTGCGATAATTAGCGCTGAAAACAGTACGCAACTAACACAGTATTTCTTATGGACTTTGCTATGAAATAATCACGTACATCAGCACAATATTAACATACGTAACCTCGTCAACGTTGACAAATAATCCAGATCAGAATTTTTACAACATAGAAACGAAACTTCATTGAAGATCAAAATATTTAGATGAACCCCACCTAAAGTAAACACAACGGAGGAATAATTATACTAATGGAAGTCGACCATTCCAAAACACATTGTTTATTGGATCCTTGATAAAAGAGATAGGCAAACTCAAATGACTAAGTAATAACTGAGATATTTTCGGATAGCTTTTAGCAAGAATAATGCTCACGCCAAAAACTAAATACATCATTATAAGTCATGAGATTTGATCATTTTAAATCAAGTTTGTTGTTTAATAGGCCGCAGTTATACTTCACCCCGCCATAAAAGCTCATGAGCAATAGTAAAATATCATTTGTGAGTAAAAACGTAGATTATAGTCTAAACACAACTTCAACTAACTCCAAACACCCAGAAACTCCAAACATTTTCAATGTTGCCACCATTGAACGAAAGGCAAACTTCTATTCAGTTCAATTCTGGACATGTGTATTGAATAATTCAATGTTAGTATTGCGAAATTATGAAAATGTAAGGTTCTAAAATTCTTCGCTCTCAATGATTAGCTTTTAAAGACGAAAATAATCACTGTGAATATATAATCACGCGTATATATTTAAACATTTAGGATACGTTTATTTCCAGATCTGTTTAAATTAATAGAACGTATATCATGCTTACTAAGAATGTAGGAAACTTTGACGGATTAAAATATTTTGTCGAGTTGTCCCTCATGGCTATCAAATTTTTAACTACAAAATAATTTCCAGTTATCTAAACTTTTATGTGAAGTGTTATGTCTAATAATTCAAATTATTATAATCATCATACAAATGCAAGTGTTTCGGAAGACATATAAGAAACTCCGCTTGGTTATTTTTCGTGTATAAGTTTGCTCAGCTACCTATTAAGCTGTAGGTGATGAGAAAAAATGATTAGGGTTCCAGTTGTTTGTTGCCAGGTATTAGGTTTAGTACTTGAAAAATAACGATGGTCGACTAATCTAATGTAATTTCACGCGTCCCGTGGTCATATCAGCAAAACCATACACATTTGACATTTTTCTGAGATTTTCATTAATAAAAGTATGTCATGTTATAACATTAAAGCTGTTGAACCTTATTTGGCACTAGTTACATCCGTTCGTTCAAATTTCATACACTCAAGGTGGTTGAGCAGTATCGTATTGGAGTCTGAGATGGAGTAATACATAACAGAAGCATGAAGATTATAAATTGCTTGTTGACTTTACAGATAATGTGAAAATCGGTCATTTTGGTTGCGCAATACTGTATCCTGTCTAGTTGTTCTTTGTAACTCACTAAACTTTGAACGTTGTGTTAGTGATCTGTAATGTAAAATCAGAACAGTTTATTGAACCTAACTGATGGTGTCTCTAGAATTCTGAGAAACGGACCAATACTGGGGATAAATGTCTCTCTATTATAACTATTCATATCTGATAACATAGCCGAAATTCTCTTATGTGGTAATGGTTATTTTGCACGCCCAAGTTGAGTTAAGATGCAGAATACTTAAAAGTACTTTCACTTTTTTCTATCTGATTTGAATGCTCATCTATTGGTGATTTACAGGTTGGTTACTGGATATTCTTATGAAGTACCAGTAGGTATACCGAATTCGACCACTTCTGCCAAGACTCTAGAATTTTCGAGGATGAAGTCTGTCTTCAACTCAGTTTACTCCTGATATCTTCATTTGTTCGCAGCCACTTTTATAGAAGCTGGTTGGAAAAGGTGATTTTCAAATGCAACACGAATATTATGCAGATCACATATTAATCATAATGTAATGATTTATCCCATAATGCGAAGAGAATAACGATGAGGTGATTGTGAAGCCGATCTGCTATAGCGTAGGGCTCGCGGTCTGAACTTGACCTAAGGATGGATAAACAGTGATGATTGTAATTCTGATACAAATACGGATCTTTTCCACATTTTTTCAACACATTTCTGCTCAGCCTATTCTCGTCTTTCTCTCCATTATTGACAACATACAACATTCTGAAACAACTCAATAAACCATTTTACTCGCATTTTATTTTATGTCAGCAAGATATCTGAAGAAGGTCATAGTAATGCAATACGTCAGACCTACCACTTTGATCAAAGGGTTGTGACTTGCATTTGTCAACTCGACCTACATCCGAATAAGAAGGACCACTATTTTAGTCATAATGAACCAGTAACGTTACTCAAACAGTTAACGTGACAATATATGATCATTAGTATTTGAATTATAGTACGAACTAAGAATCCCAGAAATAACACAACTGGATAAAGAAGTACACGATAAGCACGAGTGCATGGAATGTATTTGGAATTCGAAATCAAGCATTCAACAAGTACAAAGGAATCGTCAGTTCATTCAAACACCACAAGAAGTCACATCGTTGCATACACTGACTCATCGTATCGTAACAATTAACAAGATGATACCTGGAGTTTCCATGAAACACATTTAGGTTAAAGATAGAGTAATATATTTGGTGTGAGTGATGTTTCACGTTAACTCGGAGCCCGGATACTGTGAAACTATTCGATCAAATTTAGACGAAAATTCTTGTTGAGTAAAGACAAGTTAAATTGAATTGAATGTTCCTGCGTTCTCTATTGTTAACCTTTTATTCGTGTCAATAGCTGAATATAAACCTTTTCAATAATTATATGCTCGGCCTCAAAGGTCATGTAGTTGTGGTCGAATGCTACTACATGATCACTAGTCTGGTTTTTCTATAAATAAAACAAGAGGTATCTACTAACACGAAATCTCCATTTAGGTGACTACAAACTTGTTTTCCTTCTATGATATGTCTAGTAGCAATAGATGGATCATGGAATTCCGAAGTTGCAGTATTGATAGTGATGGCCTGTTTCCACATGTAGAAACTTACAGGTCATTGGTGATTGAATATTATGTATGAATCATAGGTAGAACGTTTAGGCCCAATGTTATCCTCAGAGAAATTAAGTGCATTTTGTTACAGGGTCGAAATTGAAAATTTCAAATTTTTGAATGAAATGATAGATTAAGTGTTTATAATAGTTTCGGTTTCAGTTTCAGTTCCAGTTTGGAATGGACAGGAGGCTTGATGGTCTGTGTTAGTCCTGACAATGGTGGTCTGTCAGTTGACCCAACTTTCTTTTGAAAGGGTCGACGGATGGAGCCTCAACCACGAGTTGAGGTAATGAATTCCACTCGTTGATGATTGGGTGGGAAAGTCGATAGTCAGATTACAAGTATGTCCCCGTAAATTTTCTGTTTCTGAAGACAATGAAAATGAAGGCATACCGAGTGCAAATCTATTACCAAGTAATTTGAAAACTGTGATCAGGTCACCTCCAGTTCTTCGCTATGACAACGGGAAAAGGTTCAGCTTGGCCAGTCGAGCTTCATACGGTAGCTTCGCTATTCCGGGAATCAGCTTAGTTGCCGTTCTCTGAACCTTTTCCAGAAGCTCACTGTCTTTTTAAGCAGGGGCTGGCCGCTTGTATGCAGTACTCAAGTTTAGGACGTACGAACACTGTATATAAAGTCAAAAACGTCTTAGCGTCGACATGACTAAAAGCCCTACGTATTGACCATAACGTTCTAAAACTTTTGGCGGCTATTGCACGGCAGTGTGCAGTAGTTTTTAAGTCTTGACTAACGATAACTCCTAAGTCATTATATGTCTGGACGACAGGTAGCTCAGTGTTATTCAGCGTGTATGTATCTGTGCCTTGATGACCGATATGCATCACAACACACTTGGAAGTAGTTATCAGCAACTGCCAGGTTTGAGACCATTCAGGTACTTTCTTCAGGTCATTTTGGAGTTCTAAGCTATTATCCTTACATCGTATCATTCTCCATATCTTGACATCGTCAGCATATGGCAAGACCGATGATGACAGGAGACGAAGACGGTCATTTACATACAAGAGGAATAGCACCGGCCCAAAAGCTGTATCCTGGCGCACTCCACTAAGCACAGTTTCCTAGCTGGATAACTTTGAGTTCACCCGTACTCTTTGTTGGCGCGCAACTAGGACGTCTTTTATCCACATCAATAGATTGCCTCCAATCCCGACATTTCTTAGCTTATATAACGGCTGGTTGTGCGGAACTTTGTCAAAAGCTTTGCTGAAATCAATGTAAGTTTTGGCCCTTCATGAAACACCAATAAGTTAGTGAGACAGGAAAAACCTAATCTAAAACCGTGCTGCTTCTCCGAAAGGATCCGGTTTTCATCGAGGTACTTAAACAACTGCTTCCGAATAATCTCTTCCAAGGTTTTAACAACCACACTAGTTAGGCTAACGGGTCGGTAATTCTCAGGTTTGTGTTTCGTACCTGTTTTGAAGACAGGACTTACTATGGCGTTCTTCCAGTCTTTGGGTAAACGACCCTGCGTTACGGATAGATTAAAGCATATACTTAAAAGGTTCGAAACGAAGTCAGATAATTCCTTCAGTAGCCTAGAATGTAATTTACCTATGTCAAGCTTATTTAGTAGACCAAAGACATCGAGTTCTTTAATGGTCACGCTATCCAGTGTATGTGTGGAGGGATCTGTATGCGCTGATGGGAAGGGTGCTTCTATGGTATATACATTGCTGAAGTAGTTTGAGAATACTTGAGCCTTACCAAAGTCGTCCTCCATTAGTGATGCGGCAGTACTGTCTCCCCATAGAGCAGGAATATTTCCTCTTCTCTTTGTCCTTTGGTTTATATAAGGATACAAGCGTTTAGGACATTCTATGGATTCCTTAACAATCTTTTCTTCGTAAAACTTTCTAGACTTACGGAGGGTCGAGGCACAGGTATTCCGGACTTTTCTATACTGGGATTTAGTTTCATCAGTTCCCAGTAACCTAAATCTATCCCACATTTTTCTTCTCTTACGGAGAAGGATGCGAACCTCCCTACTGAACCATGGTGGGGAGTTTCTCGGCCCCTTTGGTATAGTCCAAGGGATTTGGAGTGTGGTTAATTTTAGGTATAAATTTCGAAATGCGTCACAAGCCGTTTCAATTGAGGACTCCTGGTCTATTGTCCAAATTACTAACGATGCTGAGTGCATGAAATCTGGTATGTTTGCTTTACAGACGTTAGGTCTGGTTTGAGCTAACGCGTGCTCGCGATTAACAGTTATATGGAAGTCGAAAGTTAAAACTGCGTGGCATGTAATGGAGGTTCGCAACGTCATCCACATAGTGAGTGAGTATCAGATCTAGTAAGGATGATTCAGTGTCCGGGTCGTACCTAGTCGCTTCTTTACATGTTGCACTACGGCACATGTAATAACCGCATCAACTAATTCGTGGTCGAAGGAATTTTCTGACGATTCAGTTCGCAGATTTTCCCAGTCTACTATAGGCGCATTAAAGTCCCATAGGACTGGACATCGACCACTTTGTGACCAAATATTGAGATTGCTTAGCAGAGCCTCATTT